GAGAGAGAGAGAGAGAGAGAGAGAGAGAGAGAGAGAGAGAGAGAGAGACCATAGAACATCTTGTGTATACTAAAAAACCGTGACAAGAAAGAATAACACCTCTATTTATACAATAATAAACTAATAACAGTAAAATTGCGAGTAGGAAAAATTTAATGCACATATCTTGCCACGACAGAAAAGTTGAGCATGAGTGATCTTGGAGAAGATTAAGTAATTAGATAATTAAAATTTATCAAATAAAAACATTACTACATCATCGTAAACACACATTTCTCACATATATATATATATATATATATATACATATATATATATCTGAAGATATAAGTAACCTTACCTTAAGATATAAGTAACCTTATCTAAGATATAAGTAACCTTATCTAAGATATACTAACCTTAGAATTGGCGCTCTTTTTAACGACAGAATCTGCTACTTTCATTTTGCTGGTCGTCTTTCTTTCTTTCCTTGCTTCCTTCTAAATGATCCAAGCAGATATTTGCGCTTTGTGTGCACATACGTCGTATTACCGTTATTTTGTTATTCGAATCTTTATATAATACGTGAGTACATCATTTAGAGGTCGCGCACAACAGTAAAGGCTCGTCTACAATTTCTGTAAGAATATGGATATAATGCTAGATTCACACTAAACGCGATTAGCGATGAGCGATATCCAATGAGAGCTCTTATTTCTTTTTAAAGTTTTTTAAAGCAAAGCTCTTGAACATTTATTACAAATTATCAGTATGATTAAGATTCTGTTACGATGCGTTACGCTCCTACTTGGAAAAGAGACGGAAGGTGTCCTACTATTGTCTGCCTCTTACTCTACGGCTGCGTTCCTTTTGAGCGCTCACGCGCTTTAAGTACTTATAAGCGTCACTTTATCTTTCTTCCGCATCTAATAAGCGATAAAAATAGAATTGGCGCGTTCAGCGAAAAAAGCGCTCAGTGAGCAATCAGCGATTATTGGTTCTTACTGTTAGATCCCTAAATTTAGACCAATTACATTGACGAATTACTCAACTGTCGTGCAACTGTTGAGTTCGCTGAACGCACCCAATGGCACTTACAGCGCATGAGCGCCCAAAAGGAACGCAATCTACATCTGTTCCTACTCTCACCACTTCATTTAGCAGTCCATTCTATGGCTGCGTTCCGAAATTCACTGCCAGTACTGAAATTCTATAGTATACGTAACATGAACTATAGATTTTCAGTACTAGCAGTAAATTTCGAAACACAGCCTATAGGTGCGTTCGAGGAGCTCGCTATTAGCGCTATTCAGTGCAATAGTATTATTCTATCCTTGTTGTATATCTAAGGAGCAATAAAGATAGAAGAATGCGGTAGCGTTAATAGCTCCCCGAACGCAAGGGTGCGTTCAGATTCCTCATCCGGGTGCACTCTATTACTAGAAACATTATAGTATATGTCACATATACTATAGCACTTCTAGTAATAGAATATACCCGAGTGGGGAATCTGAACGCAGCCCTATATGTTGATGAACCCTCTTGGGCTGCGTTCAGATTCCCACCAGGGTGTATTCTATTACTAGAAATGCTATAGTATATGTCACATATACTATAGCACTTCTTGTATTAGAGTGCACCCGGGTAAGGAATCTGAACGCAGCCCTTGATAATATAGAAATGTTTCTCTAACATATTTTAAGGTTAGAGTTAAGTTATCTGTATTTACGTAAAATTATAAGATAAAAGAGAAACATTTAAAAAGAAGCAGTGCAAAATTAATATATGAAAAATGACATCACTTCTAAAGACCATCAGTAGTCTTCAACTTTTTCACAAATGCTTAAAACAAAGGTATGACATTGTCAATATTCGTAACAAATAATTTGTTTTGCATTAGTGAATGTGATGTTAACACGAGAAAATATATAAAACAAGATATAACAAATAAAATTAAGATGGACAGACTTACAGAAATGATCGAAAAAATTAATTTCCTTTATTTTTTAGTATTGATATGCTGTCTGTTCCAAGTCGAGGTAGACGGTTAGGCATACCTAAATATCGTCATCCAGAGTGGTTACCAAAAACACAACGTGTCGTATGTAACTAGTTTACAGCATTTTTTTAACAATACACACAAGATGTGTACATCAAATAGTATATATTTATACTAAGTGTATAAATATCTGTTAAAATAAAATTATTGGTCTGTATATATATATATATATTCACTAAATATAATATATATAAGCAACAAATATTTCTTTATAGCTATATAAGGAACAGTTAACAGAAGACAACAAGGAGTTTCTTCAAGAAATAGTTCAAGACAAATATGGTTTACCTCATGTTGAACTTGGAATGAATCTCTCTCCTTTGAAATTAAATCCTGTTGAACCAATTACAGAATGGAAACCTGGTATGAGACGTACTGGTGTGATTGCCAAGAAAATAGGAGTATACCCATTATGGTTAAAGAATGGGAAGAAGGTTACTTCAACATTACTTCAGGTATTAAAATAGATTTGTTTCTCAATAAAAGATTTTCAGCATAACCATTTTTTATCAACATTTTAAAGTTCTCTTATCCTATCTTATTCATTTTCATACAGATTGTCGATAATGAAGTAGTGAAATATATACCTCCAGAGAAATTCTACCCTGTGATAGGTAAAAAACCAATACAGATTAAACACAGACTTGGATGTCTCGTAGTAGGCGCAGAAAGTATAAATCCACAACTGGTAACCAACATTATATCTGTTATTTTCCTTCGCTGTCTTACAAAAAACTACATTAATGATTGTTTCTTTGCATAGGTCACTAAAGAATATAGTGGTATATTCAAGGATTCGGGAGTTATGCCGAAACGTATACTGAGAAGATTTATAATATCTCCACAAGCAGCATTACAACCAGGGACTCCTTTATTCGTTTCGCACTTCAAACCAGGAGAAGTCGTAGATATTCGTGGAAAAACGTAAAGAAGTTTTTTATTGTCATCATTGCTTACCTATCATGTTGTATAATACATAATATTTTATTGAAAGGAGAATAATGGTATTAAACATGATATGTGCAAAACCTATTAGGGTAGATCGCGGGTTCCAAGGAGTTATGAAAAGATGGGGCTTTCATGGAATGCCTGCCAGTCACGGTGTAACAAAAACTCATCGAAGACCCGGAAATATCGGATCAGGCGGCACAAAGGCTCGCGTTATGCCTGGCACAAAGATGCCTGGACATATGGGTAATAGGTGGCGCGTTCTAAAAGGTGTACGGGTACGATGTGCATATATATATTTATCCACGCTACAAATACGTAAAAAATGATCTATAATCTTCTATAAAAGTAACTTATAAACCAAAAATTTTATTTACGATTACTTTCTTTAAGTTTAACTTTAAGTTTTCATTTAAGCGCACAAAGATATAGCAATCGTTTGATCCTTATTTTGCAACATCTTACAGATTCTACGAATTAATACAAAATATAATGTGATGTGGGTTCTGGGACACAATATACCAGGCGAAACCAACAATTACTGTTACATCTTTGACACGATACTTCCTTTAAGGAAACACCAAACGACGCCTTATTTCCCCACGTATTTCCCAAGTACTACCCAGGAATCACTTCCGGAGGAAATGTATGCAGATGATGTACATAAATTTGTAGATCCCACATTAGAGTTTAAAGAAGAATCTTAATTGTTTTGTATATTATTAAATAAAAAATGTGTAATTTTAAATCAAAGGATATTTCGTCACACACGTTCACTTTTACACACACCACACACGCACGCACGCACACACACACGATAATTTATAAATATACTTTAAGAGCAAAGACCAAGGATATAGCGCAGGCACATTCGATTTTTTAATTTCGTAATATATATTCCGTTTTACATGTAATATAAATTATTACGTCGAAATAAAACTACCGACTGATAGTTAAAGTCTTGCCAAGTTTCCGTTGGTATTTTATTAGTTGTCTGGCTCCTTACAGAAATGTCCATAATTATCAATTATGCTAGCAAAGAGTAGTCAATTGATTCTTTTATTTAGTAATCAATATCATTATAAATTTAACATGCCTAAAATATACACGAATTATTTTATAAAAGTAATATCGCTAATCAAGACTCGTCCTGAGTTAGAGTGAAGAGTAACATGATCAAGCAATCAGAAAGATCCTTCTGTTTCGCGTTCCAATGTGCAGAGCAGCTAATTAATTTTACTAGAATAATTTATCCGCACGTTTATGTTCTGTAGCTGCATTCGACTAAAGACTCCACTAATACATTTATCATGTATAATAAAAAAAGGGGGTAACGTACACATTATATGAGGAAAGTCGGAAAGAAAAAAAAAATCAAAATACATAGATGTATGTGGTTACGGATTCTTCGCTTCGTAACCGAATCTTTTCAAACTTCATTCCTATATTTCAAATATGAAAAAAATCGACAAGTCATGCTGTACGTTTTAGATCAGCAAAAGCAACAATTCTTCCATATTATTACTACAATAATTATTATCGTTAATTACTATAGTAATAATTTGCAAGACTGAGAATTCATATTGCTATGCTTTTACTGGAGCAAAATGTGGATGTAGAAATAGGAAAGGGAAAGCAGGATGGCTCCACATTGGAGTTCGTCGGGGGACGGCACGATCGGATAAGAAGAAATGGAGGCCCTCTCAGAATTTAAAACCTTCGCTCGGAATACTCGTCGTTTGATCAAACTCGAAAGCTCCTTCTCCGACCTGTGGTGCCAGATTCGTATCATCCGCCTGAAATCGATAATTATAAATGAAGATGAAACATATATAAATATTATTGGAAGTGATAAAACGATAAGAATGATGCAGAACGCATCAAGAAACACATTACACATGACATTTATATAAGAAACACGGCATTTGGAATTAGAAAAGCATATTGAACTTTGTTATGCGTCTAGAATATTATCCTAGAATTAACGTAAAATTATGTTTAGGGGAATTATATCGTTCTACATTCTTTTAATAAACTATATAACATGAATACGATTCTTACCTCTTCCGAAAAGTATTGCTCGATGATGTCGTAAGCTAGTTTGTAGATATCTACATTTTCATGGTTCTGCAATGCTTCAATCTTGTCCAAGCCTGTAAAAATGTAAATATAAGCACGTACTAGTTTCTCTTACTGCTGTTTTTCTCTATGCTATATATATATATATATATATATATATATATAAAGATATATAAAGATCTCTATATATATAGAGATCTATAAAGATCTCTATATATATATAGAGATATATCTTTATATATCTCTAGATATATAAAGATCTCTATATATATATATATATATATATATATATATATATATATATATATATAAAGATACAAATATGTGACAGAATATAATAAGATATACTAACCAGCACACTCTTCAATCATATTCGCCAATTGCTCAACTTGTGGACCCGCAAGTTTAAGCATATTATGTATTCCATCCAATACCACTTGTACAACCTGAGTATCTTTACACGACAAGAGGTCACAAAATGGACCAATTACACCTTCTTGTATGAGCCGTGCAACTTGATCTCTATTACCACTTACTGTAAGATTGCTAATTGCCCATGCAGCTTCTTTTTGTGTTTGGAATTCTCCCTACAAAAGTAATATATATAACATGCAAAATATAAAATTTTTTATCATATCTAGGATATGATAAATCTAGAATAGACACAAATGCTTTTTTTCAAACAATTTAACAGAAATATAGGTTTTAAGCATATAGAGTTCCTCATAAGAAAACCAGAGAAGATCTTATACAAAGAATTCTTTTAAGTTATACATTGACTTTTTATTAACAGAGTTGCCTAATTTAATATAACTATTCTATTGGCAATCTGATATAAGATGGAAAATAACTTTTAAATAATCTGCATAAAATTATGTTATTAACCTTACCTTTGCTAAATTACGAATAATAAGTGGTAAAAGTCCAGCATCTATAACAGCTTGGACTTGTGATTGATTGCCAGCAGTAATGTTAGAGAGAAACCATACTGCTTCCTTACAGATTTTTTCCTTGGGATGAGTCAACAAATTAGGGAAATGCGAAAGTGCATCGCAGTTTAAGACAGTTTGCGTTTGCTCGTCTGTTCCAGTCACGATATTGCCAACTGCTCTAAGTGCAGCAGTTTGCACTTTGACTTCTTTGTGCGAAAGAAGTGGTATCAAACGAGGTACGACACCACTATCAATAACCATTTGAATTTGCTCGTTACCACCGTCGGTCAGATAGCTCAATGCCCATACTGTGTCAACGAGAATCTATCAAACGAAAATTTGTTAAACTACTTTATGCAGAATGATCAACAATTTTATTTTTATAATACAATACTTACATTGATATCCTGATGATGGATAAGCACATTCAGAGCAGGTAAAATATCTTTTATGGTTTGAATTGGTGGTGGTGGATCTTTATTCCTACATAAGTTTACAATGACCCAGGTAACGTTACGTAAAAACGTAATAGGTATATCTGGTTTGATAAACGTGAGCAATGGCTGCACAACACCAAGATTAATGACATAATCTCTGGGTGCTGGGCCATCTCCTATAATGTTACCTATAAAGGAATAAAAATGTAAATTATAAAAATAATTAATTTTTCAACGAATTAACATCTTTGAAAAACAATTTTTGAAGGAAAAAGGAGTAACTCACATTATGTTATGAATAATTCGTAAATTTATGACATATAATCAGGTGTCATACCTAGAGCCCATACTGCTTGCTCGCAGACATTTTGTTGACTTGACAGCAACAAATGTAAGAACAGTGGGACAGCACCAGCTGCTACTACAGCTTGTGTTTGAGCTGAAGTCCCACTCGCAATATTTGTTAAAGCCCAGGCTGCTTCAAATTGTAAAGATGGACTAAAAATATTTATAATGCTACATTATTAATGTGCATTATACTCACACACAACTATATAAAAAATATTCCCATATCATATATAGAATATATGAAACTTATTGTTAACAAATATTCATTACATAATTTTTAACAAGGTTCTTGATTGCAGCATAACTTTTTTCATCACACTTTTTGTTAAACTTATTTGATATCCTAAATATCATTAATTGATATCATATTGATATTATATTGATATTATATTCCATATAATACTTTAATTGTTATCATATTCATTTATAAAGAATATTTTCTCATACCTGTTATGCTGTTCCAAACAACGAACTAAGATTGGTAAAATACCACTTTCTATCAGGGGATCAATAGGAGGATTACGATCTGACGACAATAATTTTCTTGCTGATTGTACAGCTTGTAATTGTTCTGTTGGATCTGAACTAGCAGCCTTAGCTACCAATTCTTCCAGACTGATTTTCGAGAGATGCTTATCAATATCATCTTCGTCTATATTAAAAGAAAAATAGAATTATTTATGTATTTGCAAACTACATATAATCATTTGACATTTAAATCCAAAGGAATTATATTTAAAATATTCCATTGAGTATACAAAAGTCCAATTTAATGTAATATTAAAAGTATCATGCATAAATATAACAAAATTATATCAAAATTTATTTTTTAATATTTTACCTGTTGAATCTGTGATAGGCACATTTCTTCGTTTCTGTAAAGTCTCTTCACGCTTATTTTTACGTAATTCTACAGTTACTTCATTGCGTCTCCTTCTCATCTCCTAAAATGATTAGTTATGATGCAACATTATAGTTTTATCATCAAAATTGTAGTTGTAATATGAGTTATGATTAAATTGAGTTATGATTAAAGTGAGAATTAGCAAATATTATTTTTAGGCAAAGCGTTGCTCATATATCACATGTATCAATGCTAAAATTTTAATAAACTTATTGTTTGAAGAAAATAAAAATCAGTTTTGTATAATTAACAGAACTGATAGTATAAATCTCAAAAAAGAGAAAAATGTTGAAAATATTAAACAAATATGTAATTTAGCAAAATCTTTTAGTAGTTTGAGACTATCTTAAAAAGTAAGAATACCCATATAGTCTGTTCTTTATAGCTATACTTTCTGAACTATTTTACAATATTTCTATTTCTTCTCTCTTCCACCCAGTATCATATATATAAATCATATTTTATTTTAAGTACAGATAGTACAACTTGGTACAGCTATAAAGGACAGATCTATAATGATTACATTTGTATTTCAATATAATTATTATAGGATAGTAGATTTTTTGTGTTAGTACAAATTACAAAAAAGCAACAAGTCATATGGAAAGAAAAACAAAAAAAAATAAAATAAGAAAACAAGAAAAAAAAGATACAGAGCAAAGGATGAAATTGGAATCAAGAGAAAAAGAAAAAAAGGAGAAAATGGAAGAAAAATAAAAAGATAGAAAATGAGAACAGAGAAAGACACATTAACAAGGAACAGGGAAGAGAAGACGGTGTGGTGTGTCCGCATACAGGCAGGAGAAAAATGGCATTGCACGTTGCGAGAGTTCTAGAACGTGCTTCGCCTCGACAGTATAACTCATCTGCCAGGCGAGGAAAATGGTTTCCCAACTCGCGCGTGAACGATAGCACGTTTCACCCACCTCCTGATCCTTGCCTTTGTTCTTAAACACCATCATTCGGTTCTTATTTAGCATCGGTGCCTCGGCCGCCATTTTTTCAATAACCAATCTCCGTCTTCGTGTAGATCAATGTACGGTGCCGGCACGCCGCTGCCGTGTGTCCGTTACAGCTGAAACTCACACGTCCGCGTGAACTCCCAACGTTCTTCCCTGTTTCGACCGGTTGCGACTTGTTCTGAGCTACTCCGATCTATCTCGACAAATGCATTCCGTCTAATACAATTCGCTATATCGTGTAACGTCAATATGCAATATCATGCATAACGCGCTCGATCACGTAACAACTAACGTCCTCGTCGAACGGTGCAGCTTAAAACTGTTCGATGCTTTCTCCTCGTTCACGTTAGATTTTACCTGTCTCCTCTCTCACTACTGCGATCGAGCGGAACGGACGTATAGACTGAGCAGGAACAGACACACACGGGCAGCAACTTCTAACGTTCGTAAATGAACACGGAAAGGGTGATCGGGGAATGTCGCGCAACGAGGACGGTGTGTTCTGAAACGTGTTTCATGCTGGCGTCATACCTGGCGCTATGAATCGCCTTAACATATGAAATAAGCGTATAACATATGACTAGACACATATCAATCATTTATATGCGATAAAACAAACTTAGTAGGGGGCGTCGTATACGTTTGAAATGCGATTAGTCGATTTCTCACGCTTTCTACACACGCTATGAATTATTGTTCGATCCAACACTCTTACAAGAGTATATTTTTCTTCTATTTTTAAAAATGATTTTAAAAAAAGTTTATTGCATATATACTTTTTTGATAAACATATAAGTAATAAATGAAGAATATAATGAATAAACTTGAATATAAATTAACTGTTTCTCTAATACTCACACAGCAGGAATGTCCCAAATATATCATAAGGATATCTTGAAGATATCGCATACCACAAATATATCTTTAGGATATCTCTGTGACATATTTTGGCCACTTCTGCTGTGTGGGTATGTGTGATATTCAGAGAAGTCACAGATCTTAACAAATGTATAACTGTTTCTCCCGAAAAATATATTTATGGATTTTTATATAGAAATATATAATACTTTTTGTTCAAAATTATAATCGTAGTTTTTATGATTATTGCGTTACGAATATGGATCTAACCATGATATTTTTTCAGTATTGAATATGTAGTGTACACACAGACACAATATATCAATTATATCATATATATCATATGTATCAATATATAATTATATCATATATATCAATATATAATTATATCAATATATATATCAATATATCATATATATCAGCAAGATACAATATACAATATCAGTAAAACACACAATATCATATTATATATTCATATATTCATAATATACAAGTATATACAATATTAAAATACTCATATAACATAAAAATATTACACCAGCATTAAATTTAAAATATTACACCAACATTAAATTTAAGAAATTTTTAATTATGTTGCTAAAGATTTAGTAGCGATGTTATCATAACTTTAAAATGTTACTTTCCAGGATTTTTAATCAAACTTAAACCCAGATATTAATACAAGATTTTTTTTAGGTTAATTCAAAGTTGTTTTGTAATTAAATTAATATCATTTCGATATTTATCAAAATATAACCATCATAATATAATTACCTCCTCATTCTAAACTAACGTTTTAGTAATATTAATATATTTTTCTCTCTTCGATAGGGAAGATTACTAAAACATTTTATATTCCTAAATAAAAAATTTAATTTATTGAGATATCATATCAACATTGTAATAATAATAACATTGACTATGATACTATATAGATAGAATATTAATACAATATCATAATAAGCATTTATTGTGCAAATTTATGTTTTTATATAACTGTATTACGTCGCAAATAATGTATACATTTCCTCTTATACATATATATATATATATATATATATATATATATATATATATATATATATATATATA